TGTGTCAGGGGCGGAAAAATGCCCGCGGACCATGTGTCAGGGGCGGAAAAATGCCCGCGGACCGTGTCACAGGAGGGAAAATGGCCGCGGATCCGGTTCGTAACCCGAGGGGGAGTTCGCAAACTGAGGTAAATTTTTGCAGCCAGAGCTGGTCGTAACCCGAAAAGTTCGTTAACAGAGGCATTCGTAACCCGAGGTACCACTGTACTCTGAATATAGAGCAGACACATTCCCAAACCAGCCAGCTTCAGACTGCCTGAAGCACAATAGTAGAAGTAACTTTATTTTTCTCCTGATACAAACTCTACCAGTGAGAATATTTTTTTTTAAAAAGTGTTAACTTCAAGCCTTTTGACCTCCAGCAATTTGAAAACTAGTGAGCTTGGTGGTGTTCTGTCACCGGCATTCCATGAAAGCAAATGTGTTCCTGTTTAAATATTAAATATTGCAGTTGTATTTGCATCAATTGATATTTTTTCCATGTGAGCTCAACATTCCAAATTTGGAAAAGAACATTAAAAAAAAAATTCTTTGATGCAGATTTGAATGCTTCACTTCGCTAGTAAACGTGTGTGAAGCTGTTCGACTTTTTTTTTGAACTGACATTAGGGGATTTTATCTTCATTTTAAATAATACTTTAAATAAATATTTTAATTGAGCATTGTATAAGAAATCCTGTTCTGTAAACAGAATCTTTTATTTTCTTCTATCTGCTCTTTCTAGCCTCTGCTCATTTTTTGTTTGCAGGTTTACAGCTAGCTTCACGTATGAAAAACTATTATTTTTCAAATTTTAGCAACATTATTTTAGGAACACTGAACTGAAAAAAAATCTTTGTTCTACTGTGTCATCTTTTATAACTGATTACTATAAAATATTTTAGATTCCTTGGACCCAGATTTGTAGTTTTCCATCTCTTCATATTTGGCTAATTATTCAAGAATTGATCTCTGCATTGTCGTTTCCATCATATGATAACATGTTATGACTTTCATTGTTGATCATGAAAATGGGGCTATCTCATTGAAAATGCAGTCAAATAAGCAAAAAAAATCTGTATGTACCTGTTTTGAAAAGAAAAGCACAACTGGTAAGTCCACTGCATTTTGCAGTCATGCCTCCCCCTTCCCTACTTCCAAACTCTGATATCTGGAACTCAGAATATTGTGTGACCCAATTCAAAACAAGTGCTGATACTGCTGGTTAATGTCAGATTAGCACAGGATTATAGTGTTAGCCCATTATAACAGCTCTGCTGTAAGGCATATGGCATTTGAATCCAAGGGATGCCTTAGTTTGCCCAGGATTACCTGTAGGGGAGTATTAGCATATGAGAAAATCCTCAGCAATATATTAATATTAAAAATATAGTACAATTTTATCTAAAAATACATTGCTGAATGTTCTGCAAACTAAAAATAAAGCCAACATAAAAGTGTTTCATATGATGAAAACAGTTCCATAACAAATTAGGGGTAAATTTTTCCCAGCATGGAACTTAAGTTTTTTCCCAAGGGTGATTGATACCCTGGTAATAACCATGCTTAGCCTGCATCATCATATAATTTTGATAAGATAATAAATACAATTTAATTAAAAAGTAATATTCTCCTAACTCAGATCCAGGAGATGGTCCACTCAGACGCTACGTCCTATGAGTCCAACCATCAAGTTCCCCTGATCAATCGACCAGGGATGTTAACCGGTCACATGAGTGCCCTCAGCCAGTCACAACTGATTTCTCAGATGGGTATGAGGAGCGGTGTTACCCATGGTTCCCCATCACCCCCTGGAAGCAAATCTGCTACACCATCTCCCTCCAGTTCTACTCAGGAAGAGGAGACAGAATCACATTATAAGGTACGTGCAGCCATGCCTGTTTTGACGGACATAAAGTTTGACAGTGGCAGGCAACCTACAATGGCAGAAATAATGAACAGCACCTAGATCAAAGACATTCGCTTTTCCAAGAGGGAGAGACACACCAAGAGAGAGAAAAACTTTTTTTTAACCCAGACCATCTGAAAAGAACATTTCTTAGCAAAAGAATTGGAAGAGATGTCAGGATTACAAATTATATCAAGCATAGAAGTGCTATATTGATGCATATAATGAATAGAACAATTAAGGCAGCAAATTCTGAAAGAGATTTTTCTTCCTAAATATTTTCTATCTTACTAAAAATGCTAAGTACATCATTTTGTACTGTCCTTCCAGGTTAAGATTGTGACAATAAAAGTATGGTTTACTGCACACATGCATTCAATTCTACCAGTTGAAAATGTTTTTTGGAGAAGCAAAATTCTCATATTTGGAGAGCGAAAATAGGAAAGCACAGATATTCAGCTGGGATTTTAATTGAATAGCTTGCCATATCATCATCAGAATGAAATAACAGAAAATGTTTTCACTATGCTTAAACCTAGATAGAAAGGATTTTTAAAACATAATAAATTATAAGTTAGTAAAGCAGATGACTTGTTAAGCTTCGCAAGGAGAATTTTATTATTTTGCTTTGTTAATGAAAAATAAATGCTGAATATGTTGGTGGTACTGAGCAGATGTAAGGACTGTATGTTAACATAGCAGCAATTTGTATGAATAAATGCGTTGTCATATTGGATGATTCTGAAAGAAGTCTTGCTAAATAAATGTACATATTACCTATCCTTTTTGTAAAAACACAAGTCTTAGTAGAGGGGCTACAGCATTTTTTAAAGGATGAAGAATCTTTTCACTGTGGAGGAGAGGCAGCCATTTCATGTTTCATCAATTGGAGAATCTCCTTATGCAGCTCGTACCAGATGACAGCCGGCTGGCCATGAGAACATGGCTAGCAGACCCACTGCTTCTAAGGAAGGGGAGCATGAGAGACGGAGGCTATCTTCCTTCTCCCTCAAGCAATCAGTCATTTTTCTGTCTCAGGCAGAAAATCATCATGGCCCAAATGTGTTGAGACCTGCATCCTGTTGGGGATAATAAATTGAGGGCTGGTGGCAAGCAGTTCCTTTCTTTCTGCTATCCCTCTTTTCACCATGTTTTATGCCACCCCTTCTCCTTCTCTTCCTTCTCCTTCTCTCTCTTCAGTGTCTGAGCCAAACTGGTTATTTGCTAAAGTATTTTGAAAATAAGCTAGGTAGGAAGTGGTGTCCTGAATATATATTTTTATGCTGTATGTACTTCCTAGTTGGTGAGATGTGACAGTGGTATCTTGACTTGAAATGTTCTCTCTGTGAAAGATCATAGCATGCCTAGTGTGAGCGTGGTTGGAGTAAAAGTGGGCTTTCATTGTGTTTGTTGTATACTAACCAAAATGTGCCAATATCATTATTGATATCATTATATTATTAAACATGATGGGCAGTGCAGGTTAATATCTGTGGGCTTATCTAATGATCATAGTGTGTGGAAAATTGCAACTTGAAATATTAGTGTGATGAGTGGCAAAGAGCATAATGAAATGAAATAGAAAGAAAATAACTATGTTACGTGTCAGAAATTAAGACAAAGGGGAAAATTGTAATAGATTGAATGATGTTGGTCTGATGTTGTGGTGTAAAACAGATGAATAAGAGAAGGAAAGGTGTAGGTTTAATTTGAAAAAGCTAGACTGTCCAACAACATGAATTGGTGTTATGGATGTATATGAAAGTAGGAATTCATAAGTTGGTGATGGTTGTATGTTATACAACCAGTTCATGGTGAAAATGGAAGAAGCAGGGATCAGTTTTAGGAAAAATTATGCAACATCCTGGATGAATGTGCTTCAGGGGAAAAATTATTTTGTTAGGTGATATGAATAGGTAGTTGGGAATGAGGCAAAGAATATAGAAAAATAATGGGCCATTCAGAAATCCAGGAATAAATAAGAATTGTGACTGTTTGGTGTGTATTTGCTTAGATTTTTTTTTAAAAATACATGGTTTAAGCATATGTCTGTTCATATGCACACATGAAAAATGAAAATATAAATCTAAAAATATGTTTGATTTGATTGTTTATGATGAAACACTGAAAGGACTAATTAAAGAAACAAGTGTGATAAGCTATGTGGAAGAGGGCTGTTGTTTTTTTGTTTTTTTGTTTGTTTGGATAATGTCAAGAATGGGCCTTGGTAAAACAGTGGTTAGGGAAGAAAAGGAAAGAAGTGAAAGAAAGTAGATTGACTGCAGGAAAAGAAAATCTGAGGCCTGCTTTAAAAAGTATTGGAAAATACATTAATTTCCTAATAGAATGACTGGAAAGTGGACGTAAGGAAAGAGAATTTGGAAGCTGCCTGGAACAGAATGAAAATAATTATGCTAAAAATTGTCACAGAAGTGTGTGGTTTTATGCTAATGGGAAGTATGAAAAAGGATACTTGGTGGACTGATGAAGTAAAAGAGGCTGCGAATGAGGCAAAATGCATATAAGACAATAGCTGCTGTTGCAAAAAGTGAGGATGAGAGAAAGATACAATATAGCATGTATAGAAAAAAAAAGTTTGTTGCAAAGAACATAGCAAAAGAGCAAGGAACATTTAAGAATAAAATAAGCAAAGAAAATGCAAAGTGATTTTGATGGAAATTTTAAAAGAAATAGTTTGGGAAGCAAGCAAACAGGGCTAAAGAAGAAGACTCCAGCAATGAATGGATGGACTTGAATATAAAATTGATGATATGATTTAGGATGAAATCTGACCAGGAATAGTTTAAATATTATTTTAAGTGAGAATAAAGAGCAGAACTGAAATAAATGCTACAAATGTTAGTAAATAGCAGGACATAAATGATAAAAAGAAGGTAACAGTGTTGTAAAAATATTGAAAAATGGTACACCTACAAGTGGGGATGGTGTTACTGGAGAAATGTTAACATATGGGTGTGGCTATATGATTTGTTACATGGAAGGATGGGTTATTTAAGAATAATAAAACAAGAAGAGGTAGAGTAAAAAACAAATAAGTGGTGAATAAATGTGGATTGAATACAAAAGTGAGTGATGTTTCAAAAGGGACACTGAGTTGGTTTGGTTATATTGAGAAATTGAATAAGAATCAAATTGCAAAGGAAATACATGAAGGAAGAATGAATGGGCCAAGGAAAGTCCAAGTAAATCATGGTTGGATGAAACTGCTAGATCCTTGGCCCATTCATTCTTCCTTCGTGTATTTCCTTT